TTTCTTTATATAATTTTTAATCACTTTAAATGTACAAATCCATGTCTTTATTTACCTGGTACTAATTTCAGCTCAACTTCAGTGTAGATATCTTTTCCAGTTCTGGTCACTCCACACCAGTATTTCCCAGCATCCACAGAATGAAGATCAGAGATGGTCGTTGTGAAGATTCGTGATGTTTTGTTATCATGGATACTGTATTTATTTTTCGAGGAGTTTGATGTTGTAATAAGAAGATCACTGTCACCACAGTCATTCTTACACAGGTACTTTTCATAAGATTCATAACCCTCATCATAAGAGCAGGAAACGTTAACCTCTCTCCCCACATATCCAGTCACATGGATCACCCCTGCTTCACAGGTCACACATCTCAGAGCGACTGTAAAGACAATTTGAAAATTCTATGTTTTATTTGAAGCAACATTAAAGCTGTAAAAAAAAATCAGATGACCGGGACAGCCATCTAACTTTTCATAACTGATCCTGCATACTGCTCCTTAATACTAAAAGAGATAAATCTACTGTTTAATCTACATCTGCCTTTGTCCTTTATATGTTTAATTATTTATTCTTTTAAAATACTTACTGCAGATGATGAAAAGCAGGTTTTGGAGGCTCCACATCTTTGCTTTGGCTGATTGAAATTTAAGATTTGAAAATGTTAAGCAGACACTGTGGTCTTTTACAGCAATGAGAAGGGACATGCAGAGCTGAACTATAAGTACAGAGGGGATGGTGCTTTCTTCGATGTCTTTTCCTCTAAATATATTTTAGTAATTTGTAAAATAGCTGACATAGGCCATCTGGTGGTGAAAGAAGTATTCAGAAGTTAGAAGTGTTAAGAACAGCACTGCCAATACAAGAGTTAAGAGATTTAGGAAATTTTACTTATAAAGCTTGCATTGTAGAAAACCAACTCGGAGGTTTTGTGTTTCATCCTGTTAACATTAAGCATTCATTAATATAAAATATCATTAATCCCCTGATTTTGTTTCAGTCCCAAAGCTTGAACCTAATTCAAAATGGGGAGAATTTATAGTCTTATGATGACAAGTTAAAAAAAATCATCTTCATTTTGGGGCTTGCACAGATACTTCTAATAAAGACTAACGGACCAGTTATTCCATTATTAATTAGCTCAGAATTAGAGTTAAACAGTTACTTGATTCTGCAGCAGAAAAAGCAGATAATCTTGTACCACTGTTTATAGACATGCAAACTGAAGTCCTTGCCTTTAACTATGTAATTAAGGTAATGCAATGTAATTCGGTTTCTGATATTTGCTTGCTTTGCATTGTCTACAGAAAACACACAGACACATATGACAACCTAATTCTTGGAGTCTGCCACTCTCATCTGAACATTTATAAGTGTTCTGACCTGACACATTGAAGCGATTGCTGTCAACTCAGATTTCATGAAACCTTAAAAAACATTTACTTTGTACTACTTTCAGCTCGACTTCAGTCTACATATCATCAAATGTTCTGGTCACTGGACACCAGTATTTCCCAACATCCATAGATTGGAGATCATAGTTAAGGGAGCAGGTCTTTTGAGGGACTGAACGCTGGCATGTTTTTGCTGCCACTGCTCTCTTTCGATACTTATTGCTTAGTATAGTTACACAGGTTTGTGTTATTCCCAGAACTTATATTTTCTGCCAGGTAAGTTGTTTCCTCACCTTACTCGGTTGGGTGCTGTGCTTTTGGCCATATTTACTGTCAGCTGTTAGTTTCAGCTGTCACCTTCACCACACATGCATTCACAGCTCACTAGCTACAAAACCAACAAGGCTCTCTGG